GGTATATATTTCGATAATTTCGTGTTATTTGGAGTGTATGTAAGACCGTACGTGTGATAATAACGGCACTTCTCCCAACAGTGTGATTATAACGAAGCGTGGTAATACAAATAGTAGAATTCTTAAAAAAAATTACCATTAAACGCAGAACTAGTTTTAGAAGAAAATAATCATCATTTATCATTCGGATAAAACTGATTAATTATAAAGTCGTGTGTGTGATTATCACGGCACTACCCATAACCGTGCCCTTATTACACCACCGCACAATAATCACACGCTGGTCACAGAACCGAACCACTTTATAAATTGTAAAAACTATTGAACACAGTTGAAAATTCAAATTGTAAAATTTGTGTCAACGTTGCTTGAATAGTCAGTAGAACCCAGTGACCCTAAATATCTATTAAAAACCTTCTCATTGAACTCCCTTCCATTTTAAGAATGTATTAATATGTTCCAAGCACTAAATATATAAATACAACTTTATATATATGTATACAGTCTAAATAAAAATACACTTGTGAACAGTTATTTAATGAGGTATTTTTACAAAGGGGACGTAACTTTGTCAATAATCAATAATATTCAGTTTGAACCTCTGAAATTAAACAATTATGGCTCATTTGTACATGTATTGTTACCGGTGCCCATTAGTAGTTTAGGGGTCTATTTACCTCCAAGACTGCGCATGCGCGGCGGCCATTTATTATCTATTAATATTTACTCATTTGCATAGAAGAAATGACCTAACTACACATACGCGGCGGCCGTGTTGAATAACAGACGCGCGGCGGCCATTTTTGATTCTTTTTAAGAATGACATCATCACGTTATAAATAGAAATAAAAAATATCTCCCGGAAGTATACTGAGCTGACTTGTATACCCGATCTTAGGGTTGAATCGCGGACATTAAAGGTCAGGTCCTCGGCCCTAGACGGAGAGATAAATATCATCATTAATAAAAGAAATGTCTGTAAATTAATACCTGCTTAACATTTTAATAAATAAAGGCAAATAAACTAGAATTAAAAAATACAAATAACATATTTTTTATATGGTCAAAATAAATAATGTACATTGAATAAAAATAGTACTTGTTTACCCATCGGCGGTCCGAAACCAAGTGACACAAATCATCAGTGTATTATTTCTAAATGCTCTGATCACGAGTGTAAAGTCGCCACTATGTATGGTGTGTGTTTGTTTAGGTACGGAAACACTAACAATGGCCTATTGAAATGTTAAAGTTAATCCCTTTAAAGTGGCCCTTCGGTCTGGCGTATGTTTATTTAGGGACGGATATGCGGACAATGCTCCATTCAACTGTCAAAGTTTATCCGTCTAAAGTAAAAGCGGGTAAGCAATAAGCTATTGAAGTGTCAGTACCAGTGGGACATAATTTTAAACATATTTTGGAAAAGAAATGCCAACATGTTTTGAAAACTGATCATCACGAATGTGCAAAATTATAAAAAAAAATATCATTAATGGTAACTAAAACCGAACAAAATACAACAAAAAAGCGTTTTTCGTCTTTTGTGCAACATTTTACGATATACATTTTGATTTTTTCACATCAAATGATAGACCTGACAGAATGCTTCAAAATAAACCCCAGGTTGTCGATTCGATTTTTAGCCGTTTTCGAGTTATGGCCCTTTATCGGGTTTTAAACAATTTTTTTAAAAGTTCATAAACCCTTAGATTTGTAGGCTGTTTGAAAGATCTCTGCCAGTAGATACAGAAAATGTATTATTATATGGATCTATCTTTTACTGTTTCTGAGATAGGAGAGTTTCAATATGGCAGACAAAATCACTCATGCGGAAAAACGCGCATAACTTTTTCGTTTATGAACGAAACATAGTCATGTTTGATATCAAATTAAAGGTCTTGACGAGTACATTCAGACGCTGTCGAAAGTAAAGTTCATACTGGAAGTCAAAATCGCTCATGCGTAAACAATATATATTTTGGTTGCTAGAGCAACCAAATACGATATGATTTTTAATTGTTGACTACCAATTGAAAGAACAGTTCAATACCTTTAATTTACACCCCCATTGTCGACTCGATTTTCAACTGTTACAGAGTTATTACGTAACAGAGATTTTTAAACCCAAATTTTCAAAGTTTACAAAACCCTTCAATTTATATACCGTTAAAAAGATCTCGATGAGTAGATTCAGAAACAAAATAGAACGCTGCATATCATTACTGACCACAGGTAATCTCTGGAGGCAGAAAGCTGTCTGCTAATAGCCTAAGTTCATGTAAAAGAGTGTACTGACTTTGTCTTTGGTTTTTTCTTTATACTTTTTTGTCTGTATAGCAATCTAATTATTTTTTACTTTAATAAACTATCCATTTCTGCAGACAAAAAACACTTCTGATCCATAATTATTTGGAAATAAAAATCTTGGATAAGCTACAGATACCAACATTCAATGCCCCAATTAATTATACTGCATTTATAAAATTATCTGAGAGTAAATTATAAAAAACGCCATATAATTTTATTATATAAGTCCCTAAACACTCTCCTCCCTGAATATATGCAAAATCATTTTAATACTGGATAAACAATATGTATCTTTATATAAATCATTTGTTGGAACTGTATACTATATGTACATTTTGATAGAGACTCAAAACGAAGCTTGAAATTGCCAAACTATTGCCTTTAAATAAAGTTTTCATCATCATCATCATCATCATCATCATCATCATCATCATATTATTATTATTAAATTATTTACCAGTGTTTCGACATGTACAGCCTGTTCTATTATGAGAAACTTACAAGTGTTGGCAATGACGACTCAGTGTACAAATAACATACGTTACAAGGCTTACCTGATAAAGAAAAAAATATGATCAAATCCATGCAACCTAAATTGTCATTGATTTATTTTGAATTATCTTTAATCTATTTTTAACCTCAGGCATAAACTCAGTTTCAAAACTACAATTCAAAACTACCAATATTATAAGAAATATCAGAATACAAAAATATGAAAACAACAGACTGGCTTATATACAAATATTTGTGTAACATCTATCCAAATTATACAGATATTCTTTGACTTCTGAAATGCATAACCCAGTCATTTAAAATATTTCCACTTCCGCAGAAAAGCCTGTTAATAAAATTAAGGCTACACTTTAAGTTTTTGCTAACAATTAATTTACTATGTGGAATGGAGAAATTATTAGACTTGCCAGTTACTTAAAAATGATTTATGTTATGAAACATAGTAAAAATCACAAAGCAAACTAATTTGTCACATTATAAAGCGTAAAATGCATGCAAAGAATTATTTGTTGGTTGCCAGGGCTTTAATTGTCTTGGTCAAATCTTTTTTATAGCGTTTGTCTATGCATCCTTTCTCCACAATACGTATTTAAAAATATATAAATATATATATAAGTACATAGAATGACATGGTGTTTTCTGTGTTTTGCCTATTTGAGCATCCATAAATTTGAATAAGAATGCCTGTGTATGAAATAAATATGTTTTGTTTTGTGAAAAAAACCTATTTAAAGTAGTAGTATAATATCTTCTTCCGGAACATTTTATTCTGTAAATGCACGGTTTTCATGTGTTTTAAATAAAAGAATTATTATATGTTGAGAGTCGGCCGTGAGATGTTAATATTATAATGTTACCATTTTTGAATTTTATGAAAAATATTTCATTAGAATATTTCTTTTTTGATATTTCATTAGTTTTATTAAACTATTTTATTCACCATTAAGTAATATCCTTAATATTTACATAAAACAAACCCAAAATAAACCAACAGACAAAGCATCAAATAATTCACAAATTTCTGAAACATTTAAGATATATTTCGCTAATAACAACTGCTTATTTTAACCATTAAAGTATGATTATTGTGATATAACTTCTCTTTAAACTTGTTCTGGAGGCTTATCAGTAAACAGCATTCTGCCTCCACTATATAAAACATGAGTGACCTGAAATTGACCTTAAATTCTGCAACGCGTCTATTGGTCTATCAATATGAGTTACTGAGATATTACAGATAAAGACCTATTGTAGATAAATCGTTATTGCACTAAATTGTTTGAAACTATTCAAACGAGTGTGGCGTCCTTATTTATGGGTCAATTTTATCCATCTTGGTATCAAGTTAAAGGTATTCAAGAGTACTTTCAGACGTTGTTATAGTAAAGTTCATACTGGAAGTCAAAATCACTCATGCGTAAAATGACGATTCTCAGCTTATTTCTGGACATAACATTGGCATGTTGCATATCAAACGAAAGGTCATGACGAATGCTACAAGGTGGAACTAACAAACCGCAAGTGAAGTCACTCATGCGTAAAAATCATTAAAATAACTAAAATAAGCTTACCCCCAGTCTTTACTCCTCGCTATCTAAATCGACAATGAATGAATCGCTACGGTTAATCGTAATAACTGGAGTAAAAGAAGCGTTATGTTTGGTCACTGATTAGACATTACTTGCAAATTTTCATTGGTCTAACTGCAACGTGATTTGACTAAACAGAGAGAGGCGGGGATTGTATTGTCTTGTATTCCGGAGCAATAGCAGTAGCATAACGTTATTCTTCTGGGAATAAATAAAAACAAAACATATGGTAATTTATATTTTTATTTCATACAGAGCAATGTTTTAAAACTAGTGATAAACTTGTTTTGTCAACAACTTTTTTTCTAATCAGTTTCTTCATTTTAGACACTACTGGACGATCATTGTGCTTTTTTGATACGGATCAAATTCTTTGACGATGTCTTTCAAAGTCTTTCCCTGATATCGTTTAATGACATAGTATGCACAGTAGAGGCCGCACTCATTAGACGAAAATTGTTGTAGTTGGCCGTAATTTCTGAGATATTTCTTGTAAAGTATCTTCTCAAATCCCACGCCATAGCTTTCTGGACTATTTCAAACGGAATCGAAATATTTGTAAGGTCCATGTCGAGGAAAATAGAATGCTACCCAATGTTTTCCCGGTCCGTTACTCGTATCTGTGTTTGAAATCACAAATCTTCCGTTTTGTTTACGAATTTCATCAGCCGCACACACTGTCACTGGGTATCTTTTTAATATATTTTGTAGCTGGTAATTATCCATTTTAGAAAGTGAACTGAGTCCAGTCAATATCCGTTTTACGCTTCTTAGGCGCCGACGTTTCTATATTGGAATCATGTAATCGTTTTACTTCCGACTTTGCCATTTCAACCGCTTGTGCCACGGGACTAACCATATTGACCACAGGGCGTTGTGCATTTTGAAGCTTCTCTTCCGTTTCTTTAAGCCTTTTCTCCGTTTCTTTGAGCTTTGTTTCTAGTATCACGAGCCTTCTAAGCGAATTACCGCTACCGATAATGTAATGGCCTCTACGATCGAGTGTCACGTAACCGTCCCTCAAATCTTTAAAATGCTGATACCATTTCCCTGGGTCATCTTAATACGGCACCCATTTTTGTTGTTTATGATCGTACACCTCTATGGAACCCATGTTGTGTTTTGAAAGTAAAGGAGCAAATATCATTCTTACGGTATTTTTATTCTTCATCTGATATGTGACCTTCATCGTCATCATCTTTATTATTCTCAACATTACAATCCTTGATGTCGTGATTAGGCCATTACGTCTCAAACAGGTCTTTTCTTAGTTTAACGGCTTGTCGCATAGATTCTTCAATGGTCATGTCATGCTGCTGTCTAAGTTTCTTCGCTGACTGGAGAATTTGTTGCTGAGCGGGGTCCTCTTGTAATACGTAAAAGTCAATCAGAAACTGGGCATAATTTTGTCTCATCGTCTTTCTCAAATGTGGCAACGCATCATTAGCAGTGCGAGCATAAGCCTCATCAAAAAGAGTACTCTTGGTCTATGTAACTGTTTAGCCCGTCTTTAAATTGTTCTTTACAAGACTGTCGTAAAGGCTTCTGAAATCTTCTATACCATATGTCATGACGTTTGCGTTCTTCTTTGAGCTCTTCTTTTATACGCTTACCAGGAGATCCCATAAAGAAAGCTGGTCTCTTTACACCTCTATAACCACCCTCTATATGATCTTTATCAGTATCATAATTTGCATCTTCATCATCATCATCGTCATCATCATCATCATCGTCATTTATCGTCGTGTCAGACGAATAACATTCACCGTGTAACTGGTTCTCCGGAGGTGTATCCATCCGTTTTCTAAGTTCTGGCTTGTTGGCCTCAAAAACGTCATTACGTAAACGATTATGTTCAAGTGTACTGGATTTTAGATCTATTACCAAATAACTGTAAGGTTTCGACGTAGTTTGCTGGAACCGTTTCATAAAAATGGCACTGGATGTGGGATATATTCTTTTGGCCAATGTCGCCACTTGCTGTCTGTCGATAGGATTATTGAACAATACCAGGTACTGGGTATTCAAAGCGATATATCTGCAGGCTTTTCCTTGAGGAAACACATCCTGAGTGAGATAAATGATGGATACGTTTCTGTGGTGGCTGCCCTTTGTAAAAAGATCGGCAATTCTCTGGTTGCATTTGACTTCTGTCATCAAATCGTCAAAAACAATCAGGTTCTTTTTGCTGGAGTTAATGTACTCAGGATTAGTCAAGTAATCTGGGATACCGTGTACAAATTCTATCCAAGGTATTCTACGCTGGAGTTCGTCATACAGAGGTTGCTATTGTCCGAATCACCATATGATGCGTTTAGACTGCTGACGAACTAGGTTAGATAACAGCAGTGTTCTGGTCCATTCCGTTTTTCCACTACCACTTGGTCCGGAAAAAACCATGGAAAAAGAGTGCTGAAATGTCATCTTTTCTGAAGTTTTCCCTCGAGTTACTTCTTGTAATAGAGAATTACTTTTTACTGTGTCGTAACTGCTATGCTTATAACGTTCATGTCTTCGCATGTTGTCAAGCCTAGAGAACACCTGATTACATACAGAACACTTATTCATTTTAGTAGCAAGATTTATGAAAGCTGAACAAATCTGCCTTCTTACAAATTTATTTAACGATTCTTACGTTTGCAGATACAGGTAAAAAATTTCCTCTCCTCCTCCGACACCTCCTCCCTTTTCTTTCTCCCCTCCTCCTCCTCCTCCTTCTCCACCTCCTCCTCCTCCTCCTCCCCTCCTCGTTCACCTCCTCCTACACCTCCCACATCTTCACCTTCTTCTTTTACTCCTCCACCTTGTTAATCTCCTCCTGCTCCCCTCCTCCTCCTCCACCTCCTCCTCCTCCTCCTCCTTCTCCTCCTCCTCCACCCCCTCCTCCTCCACCTCCTCCTCCACCTCCTCCTCCTCCACTTCCTCCTCCACCTCCTGCTCCTCCTTCACCTCCTCCACCTCCTCCTCACTTGTTTTATCTTTTTTTACTCATTGCAAGAGAACGGTTGTCCAGCCTGCTTTCGAGTCAATCAGAATAATGTTTCATAAGTGACCAATCAGAACGCTTCATTTACTCCATTTATTACGATTAGCCGTAGCGATTCATTCATTGACGATTTAGATAGCGAGGAGTAAAGACTGGGGGTAAGATTATTTTAGTTATTTTAATGATTTTTTTACGCATGAGTGATTTCACTTGCGGTTTGTTAGTTCCAGCTTGTAACATTCGTCAAGACCTTTCGTTTGATATGCAACATGCCAATGATATGTCCAGAAATAAGCGGAGAATCGTCATTTTACGTATGCGTGATTTTGACTTCCAGTATTAACTTTACTATCAACAGCGTCTGTAAGTACTCTTGAATACCTTTAATTTGGTACCAAGATGGGTAAAATCGACCCATAAATAAGGACGCCACACTCGTTTGAATATTTTCAAACAATTTAGTGCAATAACGCTTTATCTAACATCGGTGGTTAAAATGCACTATATCTGTAATATCTCAGTAACTCATAATGATAGACCCATAAACCTATAAATTTTCTGAATCTACTCATCGAGATCTTTTTAACGGTATATAAATTGAAGGGTTTTGTAAACTTTGAAAATTTGGGTTTAAAAATCGCTGTTACGTAATAACTCTGTAACAGTTGACTATCGAATCGACTATGGGGGTGTAAATTAAAGGTATTGAACTGTTCTTTCAATTGGTAGTCAACAATTAAAAATCATATCGTATTCGGTTGCTCTAGCAACCAATATACATATATATATTTTACGCATGAGTGATTTTGACTTCCAGTATGAACTTTACTATCGACAGCGTCTGAATGTACTCGTCAAGACCTTCAATTTGATATCAAACATGACTATGTTTCGTTCATAAACGAAAAAGTTATGCGCGTTTTTCCGCATGAGTGATTATGTCTGCCATATTGAAACTCTACTATCTCAGAAACAGTAAAAGTTAGATCCATATAATAATACATTTTCTGTATCTACTGGCAGAGATCTTACAAACGGCATATAAATCTAAGGGTTTTATGAACTTTAAAAAAAAAATGGTTTAAAACCCGATAATGGACCATAACTCGAAAACCGCTTAAAATCGAATCGACAACCTGGGGTTTATTTTGAAGCATTCTGTCAGGTCTATCATTTGCTGCGAAAAAATCAAAATGTATATCGTAAAATGTTGCACAAAAGACGTAAAACGCTTTTCCTGTTGTATTTTTGTTCGGTTTTAGTTACCATTAATGATAGTTGTTTTTTTATAATTTTGCACATTCGTGATGATCAGTTTTCAAAACATGTTGGCATTTCTTTTCCAAAATATGTTTAAAATTATGTCCCACTGGTACTGACACTTCAGTAGCTTATTGCTTATCCGCTTTTACTTTAGACGGATAAATTTTGACAGTTGAATGGAGCATTGTCCGCATATCCCTAAATAAACATACGCCAGACCGAAGGGCTACTTTAAAGGGATTAACTTCAACATTTCAATAGGCAATGTTATGGTTTCCGTTCCTAAATAAACACACGCCATACATTGTGGCGACTTTACACTCGTGATCAGAGCATTTAGAAATAATACACTGATGATTTGTGTCATTTGGTTTCGGAGCGCCGAGGAGTAAACAAGTTCTATTTTTATTCAATGCACATTATTTATTTTGACCATATTAAAAAACATAAGCTATTTGTATTTTTTAATTCTAGTTTATTTGCTTTTATTAATTAAAATGTTAAGCAGGTATTTATTTACAAACATTTCTTTTATAAATTATGATATTTATCCTTCCGTCTAGAGCCGAGGACCTGACCTTCAATGTCCTAGATTCAAGCCCTAGATCGGGTATACGAATCAGCTCCGTATACTGCCGGGAGATATTTTTTATTTCTATTTATAACGTGGTGATGTCATTCTTAAAAAAAAATCAAAAATGGCCGACGCGCGTCTGTTATTCAACATGGCCGCTGCGCATGTGTAGTGAGGTCATTTCTTCTAAGCAAATGAGTATTGATTAATAGAAAACAAAATGGCCGCCGCGCATGCGCAGTCCTGTGGGTAAAGAGACCCCTATACTACTCCCATTTATCATCCTTATCACAACTGTGTTTTGTCTTATACTTAACCTGTTGGATGCGAATATGTGTATACAATGTTCTCAAATGGAATTCACGGATTGTTAAAAAAAAAACTAAAAACAAAAAGTTTGCCAGTATCTATACACCCACAGAGCGCGACGCTATTATGCTAATTAGAGATTTATCAGGTGGTAAAAGATTAAGTCGATAAATAATGTGCGTGTTGACAAGAATTGTCAATACCCATATTTGTCAAAAACCTGATATAAGGAATGGCGAACACTTCAAACAGTATGTTTCGTGTCTTAATGCATAATGTTAACTTCCACGCCTAGCGATTTAAGAGAATTGACACTTCCATGCATCAATACGTATTATGCATATAAAACCGACTGGATATGACACTAATAATTTCAATCTAGGTAAAAACTATTTATTTTATCATAATATTTTTCGACATGAACAAGTATAATTTATGTAAGAAAAAATAAAACAAAAATTATGAATAGACGCTTTTTAATTACTTTTTTCAAGATGATCCTGTGTGTTGGATAACAAACATATATGTAAAAAAGAAGGACAATTATTTGACACAATTCATTTTAGTAAACAATATTATTAATTCTAGTATGTTTGGTTAAATATAAAACCATGCTGCGATTATCACGGCTTATCACGGCTTTACTCTCGCAGGCGGTTTATACATTTTTTCAGAGATCAAGTTTGTTTAACATCAAAACATTATAGGGCTTTGCATAATTCAGCTTAAGACACATGTAGACACAAAATTGATTTCGGTGAAAATAGTATTATATTTTACATAATTCAAAAATATTTGATTAAATTAAATAAATTTTGTACGCATGACCGTTGTTACTTCTTACTTAATTATGTTGTGCGATATAATCGAACACGTGCACTATTCTAATTTCTAATACAAATTATACATTTCGGCAATATAAGTATCTCTATCTGATGGCCATTTTATTGATAACCATTATTAAATGTAATAACTTACGATTTGTTAAGATAATGTTATTCTAATTAAGAAAATGACATATCAATGATTGTCTATTTACATCCCTGGCAAAAATATAACAAACACACATATCTATTATCAATATTTAAAATCACAACTGTCTAGAACACTTAGTGAAAACACCATAAATAAAACACATTCTAAAAGTAGAACTTAAACTTTTTAAAAAATATTTATCAGAACATAATTATATAATTATTCATAACAAAGTTTGTCATAATTATTTAAAAATTGCTGCAATACATGCTTTTTGAAACACTCCCGTGTGTTAGAAAATTAATTAA